GTGTGTGTGTCCGAACGAGGCGGCCTCCTGCCCCAGATCGCTGCATTTTGGGTGCGTGCTAGTTTGCGAGAAGTTAGGGAGGATTGTGTGTGAAAAGTGGACGGTGTAATGTTGCTACCTGGGGTTTCTTCTGCTTTTGTGTATTTCGAGATCAGGTGTGAGTCGTATTTGAGGCTGTAGGTGATGATGGAGAAGCGAAAGTGATTTGCAATATGATTTTGAGACTTTACCTGGAATTATGTAATGAATGTGCTGCCCGAGGTTGTGATATATGGGGGCTATAGGGTGCTGGTTTGCTGAGGTAAGTTTGATTGACTGTAAACTATGCATGTGTTTGTAAACCACTGTTATTTTTTGTGATGGAGAAACTCTGCATGACCCCTGTCTAGTTGGGTATGTAAGATGTGATTATCTGAGTAGCGTTCATTAAATCTGCCTCCAAAATTGTAACTCAATAGCTATTTAGCAAATAGAATAGAGATATAAATATCGGAAAGGAAGAGGTAACAGTTTTGTGATTCCTAGATGGTAAGATTCATTGCAGGGAAACACCATATGAACTAAAAGTAATGTGTTAAAATGAATAGTGTCCCATAATTAGTGCTTTCAACACTGATATCTCTGAGATTTACTGCTTCTGAGTGAAAGTGATGACAAGCTTAATAGCTTCTTCGGGCATTCTAAAATAATAAAGAGTATTTGGTACACTTTTAATTACAAGGCCCATCTTGTTTTAGTAATTAAAATAGTTATTTTGTGAATTAAAATATTCACTGTATCAATCTATACTTCTGACTTTATTTAGCAAAATACTATCCTTTCTGCGTAGAAGCCTATAGAGTAGAAAGGTACATTTCTTTTCTATTTCCATACCTATACTACTAAAAAGTGTTGCTTACTATTAATATTTAAATTAGCTATTAGGAAATTAATAATAAATATTTATTATTAATAACTGTGCTTATTACCTAGTGTGAAACAGATGAATCAATAAAGAGATGAAGTAGAGAAATAGAAAGTCCAGATATTCTCAAGCAGATAGGGATATGGAATATGTGATAGAGATGGCATTTCACATAAATTGAGAAAATATGGATTGTATGTTATGTAGTATTGCTAAACAGTAAAACACTGGATAAAATCTTCACAAAGCAAAAACACTTTAATAGTCATATGAATAACTAAGAAAATTTATTTGCAACTTTAAGTAGGTAAAGCGTTAATTTACTAAATTTAAAAATATAATATCAACAAATTAGGAAGTAAAAACCCATGGGAAAAAAAGAGACATATTATAAGAAGATGCCATCACATAAAGGAAATAAAAGCTTCTTTAAACTTATTTTTTAAATTTTTATTTATTTTTTAATATATTTTTATTGGAAGGGAGAGGGGAGAAAGAGATAGAAACATCAATGATGAAAGAGCATCATTGGTTGATTCTTTTATGAGCCCTGATCGGGAATTGAACCTCAACCTCGGTGTATCAGGACAACACTCTAACCAATTAAGCTACCCAGCTAGGGTCTTCTTTAAAGTTATTAAAAGGAGCTTATTCTCACTCGTAAGGAATGTGTAAATTAGAATTATAATATTGATAGTAGACATTGAAAAATTATTGTCAGCTAGCTGCATTCATCAAGGTATGAGGAGGTATTCTTATGCACTACTGGTGGCAGTAGAAATTGGTAGAAAGTCCATGAAAAAAAAATAACTGGAAATATATAATAAACCCATCCTCTATGGAAGATGAAAGTAGTTCTGTAGAGGGAATGTTCCCCCTCTCCAAGCCACAACAAATTCCCCAGAATTTATTCTACCCCACCAAGAGATTAGGTTTCTGATGTTGGTGAGGGAGCAGATTTGCCCAGTTAATTTATATCCTGGATTTATATGGGATACAGAGTGGACAAGTGCTGAAACAGTGAAAACGGATGTAGATTTAACTGAGTTATTCTAAGAGATCTAAGTCAAATATGGTTTCATATGGTTCCTTGTATCTTCCTATCTCTGCCTTCTCAGGACTCTTCCCTTTCCAAAAGAAGAGCTCAAAAGAGAAGGTTCATCTCTTGCAAATCTTACAGCTATGCCTCAGGTGAGATGATGTTTCCTCTCTTCCTGAAAAACTCGTTTTCAGATTATATGAACATTTATTTCCCTATTCTTAAATTTCTCGGATATGAGGGTTGGCATCTGTGAAACTAGCCTCCAGTAGGGCCTAGATTGGGTGGCCTAGGTACAAAATTTAAGGAGTACTCTCAGAGCTGTGCATCCCTAAATTTTGCACCATAGGTACCTTGCCTGCCTCAACCTAATAACAGCCCTGTTCCCAGTTTCTCTTATTCCAACCAGATAAATGTAAGCCTTCCCCAAGTGCACTTTCTAGTTGGAGCCAATGTTCACATATAGATTGAGTATATCATCATCATTTCTGTCTTCTCACGAAAGTTACTACTGAAACAGAAATGTATTATCTTGATCTAAATGGGGATATCTTACTTGAATGAATCTAGTCCAGACATGGATTTGAAAGGAAGGAAAATACTACCGTTTGCATTCAAGAGCTCTAGTCATTAACAATGTGGATTGCCATTAATGCCTACTGGTAATTGAAAAATACTCATCTGTTGTGAGTGTTCTCAGTACATTTTTTAAGACTACTGCTCTATTGGAAAAATATCTAATATTATTTCATAAATATACACACTGCCTATCTCCATGTACTTTTTCCTTCTTAGAGCTCAAAGACTCTTTCTTAAAAACTGTCTTTTATATTTCCTGAATTTACTGTTTATTTTATACCCATGAATTTTAAAAGCCGATGCCCTATATTCCTACAAAACAAATGCATTGTGAACTTAAAAATTTTATGTCCTCAATAAAGCTTTGGAATACATAATGAAATTTTCCTTCACTTTGTAGCACTTTCCCTTGTTCACATTCCTATCATTGCATATGTAATATCTATTGAGTGTATAATGCAGCCGTGGGCAAACTACAGCCCGCGGGCGGGATCCGGCCCGTTTGAAATGAATAAAACTATTGAAAAAAAAAGACCGTACCCTTTTATGTAATGATGTTTACTTTGAATTTATATTAGTTCACACAAACACTCCATCCATGCTTTTGTTCCGGTCCTCCGATCCAGTTTAAGAACCCATTGTGGCCCTCGAGTCAAAAAGTTTGCCCACCCCTGGTATAATGCAACTTCTCATTATTGCGGTCAGAGTTTTATTCATTTTGGCCCACCAGGTAACCAATCACATTCAAAGCAAATAGTATGTTCTCATATATTTTTAGCATGAGATAATAAGTAAATACAGGTGAATGTATTTTCAGAGAAAATGTTATGCAGTATAAAACAAAATAAGAAAACTAGTCTGACCACTGAACATGGTCAAAGGTAGATCTCCAATATCTAGTTTTCACTAGTTGCAATCACTTTAGGATGAACTAGAGTATGCCCTTACAGGGATCAGTGTCATTCAAGGATGTGACTGTGGACTTCACCCAGGAGGAGTGGCAGCAACTGGACACTGATCAGAAGGCCCTCTACAGGGATGTCATGTTGGAAAACTATTACCACCTTATATCTGTGGGTAAGGAGAACTCCATGAATCTTTCAGTGTCATGCATCTCCTTTCAAGAGTTTCTGAAACCTAATGGAACTTTGAATTTCAGGGAACATAGTTGGTGAATCCCTTTGTGTTAGCAGAGAGTCTGGTATGTTCTCACTTGCTTAGTGCAAGGTGCTAACTTTGGTAAGATGTTAATGTATACCTTGTCTGCTGCCTTGAAGATATATCTTTCTCTTCCTTTAATTATTTTGAAGCCCAAGGAGATAAGGTTAAGTCTCATTTTTGAAAAATTTATTGAATTTATTGGGGTGACATTGGTTAATACAATTATATAGGTTTTAGGTATACAATTCTATAGTACACCATCTGTATCTTATATTGTTTGTTCACCATCCTAAGTTAAGTTTCCTTCCATCACCATTTAATCTCCCCTTTACCTTCTTCTGCCTCTTCTCATCGCACTTTCCCTCTTGCAATCACCATACTGTTATCTGTGTCTTTGAGTGTTTTTCTTTGTTAATCCCTTCACCTTTTTCACCCAGCCCCAAACCCCTTTCCATCTAACAGTTGTCAGTGTGTTCTCCATATCTGTGAGTCTATTTCTATTTTGTTAGTTTATTTTTTTTGTTATAGTCAATATATAAGTGAAATCATATGGTACTTGTCTTTCTCTGACTGGCTTATTTCACTTAGTATAATATTCTCCAGGTCCATCTATGCTGCTGCAAAAAGATAAGATTTCCTTTTTCTTTTTTTTTTTTTACAGCTGAGTAGTATTCCATTGTGTAGATGTACCACAGCTTTTTTATCCACTCATCTACTGATGAGCACTTGGGCTGCTTTCAGATCTTGACTATCTACACTAATAAAAGAGAAACATGCAAATTGGTCATCACTCTGCTACGCCCACCAGCCAACCAGGGCGAGTATGCAAATTAACTCAACAAAGATGGCAGCGGCCATGGAGCTAGAGCGAGCAAGGGGCTTGGGTTGCCCCTGGCGACAGAGGAAGCCAAGCTTCCCACCCGCCCTGGCTGCCATTGAAGGAAAAGCCTGGCAACCCAGGCTTCCAGCTGGCCCTGGCCTCCACTCAAGGAGGGGCTGGGGGCCTGGGTCACCAGGGGGCGTGGACAGCCTGAAAACAGCCCTCAGCCCCTTACCCAGGCTGGCCAGGCACCCCACTGGGACCCCCCACCCTGAACGGGCTGTGGCCAGCCTGAAAACCACCCTCAGCCCCTTACCAAGGCTGGCCACGACCCCCCAATGGGGACCCTCATGCCATGGGGGCATGGCTGGCCTGCAAACCACCACCACAAGCCCCTTGCCCAGGCTGCCTCACGCCCTAAGGGAACCCCCCCCCTGATCCGGGACCCCCTTCAGGGCAAACCAGCCGGCCCCCACCCGTTCACCAGGCCTCTATACTAATAAAAGGGTAATATGCTAATTAGACTAGGAGACCTTCCAGGAGACCTTCTGGGCATTCTTCTGGACAAAGCCATGGTGGTGGGGCCGAGGTAGAGGTGGTTAGAAGCCAAGAGGGAGGGCAGTTGTGGGTGATCAGGCCAGGATGGGGACGGCTGTTGTGGGTGATCAGGCCGGCAGGGGAGGCAGTTGCAGGTGAGCAGATCAGCAGGGGGGCCAGTTGGGGGTGAGCAGGCCGTCAGTAGGGGTCAGTTGGGGGTGAGCAGACCGGCAGGGGGCCAGTTGGGGGAATTGCGGAATGACCCATCGCTTTGATGCACACTGACCATGAGGGGGCAGATGCTCAACGCAGGAGTTGCCCCCTTGTGGTCATTGCACTCCCACAGGGGGAGCTCCACTCAGCCAGAAGCTGGGCTCACGGCTAGGGAGTGCAGCGGCAGTGGCGGGAGCCTCTCCTGCCTCCACAGCAGTGCTAAGGATGTTCGACTGACTGCTTAGGCCCGCTCCTGAGCATGCCTAAGCCGTCAGTCAGACATCCTGAGGGCTCCCAGACTGCAAGAGGGCAACAGGCCAGGCTAAGGGACCCCCCTGAGTACACAAATTTCGTGCGCCGGGCCTCTAGTTATAAATAATGCTGCTATAAACATAGGGGTGCATATATATTCTTTTGAATTAGTGTTTCAGATTTCTTTGGATATATTCCCAGAAGTGGAATTGCTGGATCATAAGGCAGGAATCATGCTAACTGATATCAAACTATACTACAAAGATATAGTAATCAAAACAGCATGGTACTGGCATAAAAACAGACATATAGATTAATGGAACAGAATAAAAAGCCTGGAAATATGTCTCATTTTTTTATTATCAGGGTTTCACATGACTAAACCTGATATGATCCGCAAGTTGGAAGAAGGAAAAGAACTATGGACAACAGAGAGAATTTTTTCAAGTCAGAGTTATTTAGGTGAGTCTGTACAGATAAAGACCAGTGAACTCAGGCAGTTGATACTTTGAATGTTTTTAGGGATATATATGTTTTGTAATTGTGGTAAAATACATAAAATTTACCATCTGAACTATTTTTAAGCATACAGTTCAGTGGCATTAATGCAATTATTACTACCATCTATCTCCAGAAATATTTTCATCTTGCAGAACTGAAACTCTGTACTCATTAAACAATAACTCCCATTTCCCCCTCCCCTTTGGCTCTGGCAACCACCATTCTACTTTCTATCTCTGTGCATCTGACTACTTGTAGGTACTTCATGTAACAGAAATCATATGGTATGTGTCCTTTTTTGCGACTGACTTATTTAATTTAATATAATGTCCTCAAGGTTCACCCATGTTGTAGTATGTATGTCCTTTTGAAGGCTGAATAATATTCCTTTGTATGTACATACCACAATTTGCTTATCCATTCATCTGTCAGTGCTCACTTGGATGGCTTCCACCTTTTGGCTTCTGTGAATAATACTGCTACAAAAGTGGGTGTACACATATCTATTTGAGTCACTGTTTTCAGTTCTCTTGGGTATAAAACCAGAATAGAGTTGCTGGATTATACAGTAATTCTGTTTAATTTTTTGAGGAACTGCCATGCTGTTTTCCGTAGTGGCGGCACAACTAAACGTTCCCACCAGCAATGTATAAGGGTTCCAGTTTCTCCACATCTTCACCAACACCTATTATTTTCTGGTGTTTTTGATAGTAGCCATCTTCCTAAGGCTTGAGATCTTTGAAGAGCCTATAAATGATTGCCTTGCATAGCTCTATAGTCTAAATTTAGTTTGAATATCATTCCCCATGTAAGTGCTTTCTTTGTTGCCTTAGTGCTACAGATATTAGTTATTATCTTACCAAGAATTCACTCCATGTTTGTAGGTATAAAGTACATAGAGATTTTAAGTGTTAAGCTCTTTGAGTTCTGACAAATTTAAAAGCCATGTATCTCATGCCCCAGTCAAAATAAAGGACACTTTATATTCCATCAAGCCTATTCCAAGTCAGTCCCTCCCACTAGGACAATCACAGTTGTGATTTCTACCAGCATAAGTTAGTTTTGTCTATTCTAGATCTTTTTCATGTATACTTTCTTTCACTCTGCTTAATGTCTGAGAGATTTATACACATTTTTGCATGTATAAGTAGTTTATTTTAATAGTAGAATAGTATTCAATTATATGAATTCACCAGTTTATGTATGTCTCTCCTAATAATAGACATTTGAAATGTTCCAGTTTGGGGCTATTGTGAATAAATTACTGTGAACATACTCTAATGCACTTTTATAGACATGTATGTCCTTCTCAGTAGAAACCTAGCAGTTGATATTGTTCATTCAAAAGGCAGTATAAATTTCACTTTTTTAAGAAACAGTCAGTTTTTAAAGTTACTACACCATTTTAAAGTTTTACCAGCAATACATGAGAATTTTGATTGTTATCAATATTTTCATTTTGGTCATTCTGAAAGATATGGAAGTATATTTTTGCAGTCAGTTTATATTGAAAACCTTTTCAAGTGCTTTTAATATCTTCTTCAGAGGTGCCTATTTAAATGTTTTACCCATTTCTTATTGGATAATATATTTTTACCTTGAATAATAGGAATTTTTTATGTAGTCTGGATAGAAGTATTTCGTTTGTTATAGGTATTGCAAAAATTCCTCTAGTCTGAGGCTTGCCTATTCATTTTAATGGTTTCTTTCAATGAGCATAAGTTTTTAACTTTGATGAAGTCCAGTTTATTATTATTTCATTTATAATTATTTCTTTGACCTATCAAACAAATATTTGTCTTCTCCGGGGTTGTGAAAATAGTTCTCTGTATTTTCTTTTAGAAATGTTAGTTCTGTGGCCCACCTCATGTTAAGAGTTTTTTATAATGTAAAGTAAGGGTAGATAATCTGTTTTCTTTCATATGGATATCAATTTGTCTCATCACTTGGTGAATGAAATTGCTCTGTTAATCTTATCATAAATTGTTTGTGTCAGTCTATTTTTTAGACTATTCTTTCCTTTGATATGTTTTAAATCCTATTATCAGTGCCATGTGGTCTTTGATTATTTTAGCTTTATTATACGTCTTTGTTAAAAATATGTTTTTATTGATTTCAGAGAGGAAGGGAGAGGGAGAGAGAAATAGAAACATCAGTGATGAGGGAGAATCATTAATCAGCTGCCTCCTGCATGCCCCCTACTGGGAATAGAGCCTGAAACCCGGGCATGTACCCTGACCAGGAATTGAACCATGATTTCCTGGTTCATGGATTGGCGCTCAGCCAAGCTATAATAAGTCTTGAAGTCAGAGTAAGTCCTCTAACTTAATTCTTTTTAAAAATGTTTTGGCTACTCTAGGTCATTTTCTTTTTAAAATACATTTTAAAATCAATTTGTAGATTCCTTTAAATAAATGTGCTAAGATTTTTATTGATGAAAACTAACATTATAGCAATATTGTCTTTCAGTCCATCATTATACCTTTCCATTTGAGTTAATTCTCTAATTCTTGTACAGTGGTTTATTATTTTTAGTGTATTAGTCTTTTGTATATTTCATTAAGTTTATCTCAAAGCTTTTAATATTTTTTTGAAATTTTATTGTTTATTTTTCAATTACAGTTCAAAAATGTATTCATTTCAGGTGTACAAGATTAGACATTTATGTAAAATACAAAGGAATCAACCTGTTAAGTCTAGTACCCATTTGACATAATGTAAAGTTATTATAATATTACTTATTTTTAAAATAAAAATATTATTTATTTGTATTACTTAATAATATTTTATTTTTAAATTACAGTTGGCATTCAATATTACATTAGTTTCAGGTGTACAACATAGTGATTAGACATTTATATAACTTACAAAGCGACCTTCCCAATAAATCTAGTAACCTTTGATTTCTTGAATTAATTTTTAATTACAGTTGACATATAATATTTGTTTCAGATGTACAACACAGTGATAAGACATTTATCCTTCCCAATAAATCTAGTACCCATCTGACACTATACATAGTTATTACAGTATTAATTACTACATTCCCTAAGCTGTACCATATATTCCCATGACTATTTTGTAACTATCAATTTGTACCTCTTTTTAATAAATCTTTATTGTTCAGATTATTACAGTTGTTCCTCTTTTTTCCTGCCATAGCTCCCCTCCACCTGGTTCCCACCCCACCCTCTGTCCCTATCCCTCTCCCCGACTGTCCTCATCCATAGGTGTACGATTTTTGTCCAGTCTCTTCCCGCACCCCCACAATCCTTTCCCCAGGATTCTATTATATTCACCAGTTTATGCCCCTGATTCTATTATATTCACCAGTTTACTCTGTTCATCAGATTTTTTATTCACTTAATTTTTAGATTCACTTGTTGATAGATATGTACTCCTTGTTCATAATTTTTATCTTTACCTTTTTCTTCTTCTTCCTCTTCTTAAAGGATACC